ACACAAATGAATCTGTGTTTAGCTTTCGTGTGTCACACACTTACTGGCATCGTCATAGCTAGAAAGCATTCACCTAAAACACATCTTTCTTGGTTAAGTGGTTTTGACGAACATTTCGTAAATTATAGTTGCTGGCTCTGATGATGTCCGTCACAGGACGAACGAAGTCTCACAAGTCCAATGGGATCCTCCTTCGGTGTCCGGTGGGGCCAATTTGCACATAGTCATCTTAGGTTGCTTAAAGTGATTTAAGGACTGATAAGTGAGTTTTCCCACAATCAAATTAGTGGGAAAAGCTCAAATATCATTTCTCAAATCACCTTACCTGACCTATGATAAGTAAGTTCTCATAAAGGAATCCTTCTCTTGATGAGCAAGCAAAGAGCCAAGCAAAATGCCTATGGTTGTAGTGGAGAGCGCCATTTCGAATGAAAGTACCAGATGACGAGAATCATAGGTCCATCCCAGCAGAAGGCGATAGCTGATTCCAGTTGTTTTCTCAACCGCTTGACTCCACGAGACATCCTCATTGATTTCGGATCAGCCTTGCCTCGACATGACACACGACAGACACCGTCAGAGATGGAACATATTTTTGCATAAGTGTCAATTTAAGCCAAAGACTCTTGCAAGAATGCGTTCTAGCTCTGACGAAGGCTCAGACCATTTTCACCCAAAACGACAAACGATGTCTCGTCGTAATAAAGACAAGCGGCTTTAGGAGAGATCACTTTTCGACTGATATAAAAGTCTATACAACAATGCTAGCGAATGCACGAAGAGCATCTGTAAAGATGACATTGTTGGGGTGACTTTCAGTTCGTATGAAAGTGCATGATGACATTTGTAGATCGAGCTCATTACAATACGACACGCACACATACACTTAAGTAGGAGTGTGATGCATAAAATAAAAGGAAATTGGCCAAATCGTTCTATATTTGTGTATGTTTATTTATTTTTTATATAAGTTGAGTATGTGTAAGAGGTAAGATAGAGCCAAGTAGTCTTCTTGACCTAATGTTGACGTGAAACTTTTACATGAACGAGTCCCAGCTCCGATGATGTCACTCATATCATGGACGGAAATTCAGCCAGTTTTCACCCGAAACAAGGGATGAGGTGTTGTGGACTGCGTCAACCTGATTGTCGTATTAAATTCAAACGGCTGCAGTACAAGAGAAATCAGTTGTCGTCTTTTGGTGAGATCGACCTTCGAATCTCTTCTCCATGCACTTTCATACGAAATGAAGGTCTCTCCGACAGCGTTTGTCGAAGCCCAGTTACTACTTCTTCATATAAAGTGGGTACCAGACCCGGGATGGGGACATTTATCGAAAAAGGTTAGATGATGACTGACTGTGGATGACAACCGAGAGAAGGCAAATCCGCTGCTGTTTTGAGGTATGGACTCAATTTTAATACAACTGCAAGTATTTCATTTTTCATTCAAATCGTAGTCTTTGAATCGAGCCCCTCCAGCGTAATGAAGCGTTCGAGGGAAACGATTAGAGCATGCTGGTATGCCAGTGCCTATTACAATGTTGGTTATTTGTGTTTTCTTTCCAAGGACCGGCCACCTTCCGTTCCTCACGAATCCACTATGACTGACGGAACACCCTCGAAGAGGGCCGTAGAGCTCGTGGAAATCGCATGTAAAGCCGACATGCAACGCAACCCACAACTGGGGGACCAGGCACCACTGACACCTCTTGCCTCTAATGGGGCATTAACTGTAGGCTCGTTATCGAAAACAAACCAGACGGAAAAGCAGTGAAGCCCCAAGCAAAACGAACTGACAGAAAGCAATGACATGTCGATGGCTGTTGTTATTATAGGCCTTAGGCAGAGCAACTTTGTGAACACTTTGGTCATACAGCAGAGCTAAGACGGGTATCAAAGACGGCATGGGGCAGTGAGAGCAAACCAGTTTTTCAGGTGTCCTTGAGATGCGGTTTACGTCGAACTGTCTGTTTTTATAGGGGGTGCTAATGTCCGTTGGCATAGCGAACCTGATATGCCCATCGGGTAAGGGAGAGCAAGTTTGTTGTTTCAAGACTCATGTGAAGACGCTCACTGAGGCTAGAGAACTGGCATGAGGGTGAAGCAGCAACAGGATCAAATCTGATACCACCTATACTGTTATCGTTTGATAGGCTCCAAACAGGGGTCCCACACTCGAGAGCCTCTCCGAGTTATTGTACGTCTAAATGAAAAACACCTGCAGCATTCCTAATTTGCCGGTTACATTTTGGTAACAGGTATGGTATGCATAGTATAATAAATCCTTGCAACTAATGGTTCCTTTCTTCCATGCCTCGTAAATGGCAAAGCAAGAAAAAACATCCTCAGAAGAGATCTTTCAATTCCCTATTCAAGTACGTACATGTTGGTTTATGCGTGTTTATTGGAGCATTGTTGTGTGTGCATATATGTGTGTGTATATATGAATATAGAGTGGGAGAGAGAGCGAGAGAGAGAGAGTAAATGTGTCAGAAACCCCCGGTGTCGATGTTAATTCTGGCTAATCAAGTCGAAACCACTTAACATGTAGGATACATGCTCTACTGCACACCAACATTCAAGCTCGAGGAGGCACAATCACGAAGGCAAAAACAGTCTAGACAGACGCACAGCCCTTGGGGTGAACATGCACTTCCTTTAGGATGGGCATTCATGTGGAAGATGCAACATTTTTCTCATCTGTTTTATGGTTTATTCTTATCCCACCCTTAGTCGATACAAAAGGCATAACTCGCATTCATATGCGTCATGATAATACCTAGACCGGATTCCCTGCATGTTAAGGATGAGTTGAGTACGAGGTAATATATCAAAGACACTTTAGTTGGAGGGAAAGGTGAGAATGCAACAGACTCTTTTGGCAAACTAATGACCTGTTGGAAAGTGAAGTTATGATGGTTCTAGCGTCTTAAGCGCTTGACCAGAGTCATGTAACTTGTGTGCTTGATTGGATCGAGTAATGACTGTCTTGCGGAGACATCTCCATAATGCAGTAATGCGTAACTTCTCTCCATATCAGAATGAAGCGCTGGAAGTGGCAGCACGAGTGGACGGTCGGTTCTTGGGCTGCCGTGGGTTAAAGGGCTTACTCCCATTTCAGGAATTGAGGCGCCTACATGTTGTAATGACCTGCAGATATGGAGGTCAAGTGTTGAGATGTTTTCACCAAAAAAGTTTTTTACATTCTGCTGAGTATTAGTTTCAGCTTATGCTGATAAATGTGTCCTGATATCCTAGCATACACTCGAGCAAAAGTAGCAGGACAAGCATGAAAGATAATTAGCTAAACT